AACTGATTACTTAACCAATTTATTAACATCTGCCTATGTAAAACACTGAGTATTCATTGGCCAGAAACCATCAGCGACAACCTACTGTGGGAAAGAACAAACCATATTCCGGCAGAGGAAGCACTCAGAAAGAAAAGCTAGAAGTGGATAGGACACACATTGAGAAAAGCATCCAACTGCGTCACAGCATATGCCCTCACTTGGAACCCTCAAGGTCAAAGGAAGAAGGATTTCCAAGGAACACATTACTCCGAGAAATGAAAACGAACATGAGGCTGAGGAACAAAAATTTGACAGAACTGGACAGCGTGGCTCAGGACAGAGTAGACTGGAGAATACTGGTCAATGGCCTATGCTCATAGGATCGTTTATTAATGATCAGTTGTCATTTTGTCAACAAAATATTTCTTTTTAGTTGAATTTATAGTATGACTTCTTTGACCAAATGAATAAGTCTTGATTATTACAACATTTATTGATTGTTTACAACCAACCAATCAATCACTCATGCATAGTATTATTTATCCATGAAAGGATTATAGATAATTATTCACCAATTGTTTTTATTTCTTTCAAAATTAAACAAGTTTAGTTTATTTTTCCATACTAATTTGTTTGAATAATAAGTAATCAGCGCAAAAAGTATATCCGCGGATATTTCGGTGCTGTTGTTGCTTCAGAGATGGGTCGCTAGAAAAGGAAGCAACCGAAACCTTAGTATTGGTTTTGCAATCATGAGTTTGATGACCAAAAACCAAAACACTTCAAACGTCTTTATTGTCACAGGACCTTATTCACTCTTCCCGGTTTTTCACTTCATTGTAAGCAAGTACACAAAGAGAAGCTCGATAAGTTTCCAAATGCCTTTATGGAAGTTTCTTACTTAATAAAGTATACTTTATTCAAAATAAACAACCATTTATATCATTATGAGCAAAAAAATTATCGAACAAAACGATCAAACTACACATAAATTTCACCTGTAGAAAATCCATTGAAAATAAAGCTGATAAAGTAACTCAGAGTATGAAAAAAAAACTTGCTTGTTTCAATGGATTATGACAAGCGGTGAAAAAAACATTATCCCTATCATCCTATTTATGACTTGTCAGATGAATCTGCCTCTGTCCCAGTGTTGGTGCTCACACTAAATTCCAATCTACTGCTTAAAGCTGCAAACGCCAATGCACTGTTATTGATTTCACATTTGCACTAACCTGTTAAAGGAGTATGGTTTTCATTTCGTTCGGTATTACCCGAATCAAACTTCATCAATTCCATTTTTTCTATCGAAGTGTCATGTTAAGTTCTCTTTCTTAGATTAGCATCGAAGTTAAATGGAGCGCTGAATTCAGCAAGTTGTTTTCTTACAACATCCACACACATTACAACTATTCTAATAAAAGTTCATAAATTCAATTCATAAAATTAAAATCATTTATTATTTTATCTACTAGAAAATAGTCTATTTTCAATTTCTAAATCATACTTATGCATACAATGACAAGATTCATATATATATATATATATATATATATATATATATATATATATATATATATATATATATATATATATTCAGTATTCAATATTCAATTCAAAAATAAACTAATAGTTATTCAACTGGAACAGTACAAATATGATATTCTTTTTTTTAAAAAAAAATCTTGCGCTTTTTGATTTATTTCGTGAAACAAATTTAAAAAATTTATTTAATCACTGAAATATATATATATATATATATATATATATATATATATATAGAATACAATCACAATTAAAAAAAAACTATTAACTAACGGTGATAGCTAAAAAAGAGAGTGCATCAACATATATATTTTCAATTATTTAAAATATTTAAAATATTTTATATAATTTTATTTTTGTTCCCGAAATGAAAAAAAAACGAAAAAAAAAACAAATACATAAATGATCATAGCTATTGCTATTATTATTATTATTATTATTATTATTATTATTATTATTATTATTATTATTATTATTAGCAATAGTAGTGTAGTAATAGTAGTATCAAGGGTAAATTTCATTGGTAAATATACACATATATTTCAGTGTTGTATAAATATATATATACTGTCGTTTATTTTAATTGTTAATAAATTCCATTTCATGCATGACAGAAGTACAATTCCAAAAAAAATAAATTCATCGCCTTTTAGTACATTGATAGTTGAACAGAGAAAAAGAAAAGACTGGTGCGTATATATATATATATATACCTATAATAGAAAAAGAAATAGAAATGCATTAAAATATTGTACTGTATGACAACATCAAGTACATACATTTTTTTTAAATGTAGGCGATACAATGAAATAATCAATAATTCACCAGTTAATTCCCAGATGTATTTATTACTTACTTTTCGTTTTTTTCTTCTACAAATGTATGTTCATCTTGGTGAAGAAACGTAAAGTTTTTATTTGATTTTAGAAAGGATTATCAATTTCATGCATGATGCTATATAATTTTTGTGTAATAAATACGCAAATTATGATGAAGAAAATGTTATTTTTCAAAATTTCGCAGCTAAACAATCTTATTCAATTTCATAAATCAAAGTATACTTGGATTCGTATCGTTTTAATTGTTCAAAGAATCCCTGAAACTACCTAGGAAGTTGAATTCTTCAGTGACATCATAGCTTCACATAATTTTAATAATCTCAAATAACAATTGTAGGACGACTTTTCAAAACTTAATTTAGCATAATTTATCCAAATAGTAAATACAATTAGAAGTCACAGGGAACAGGGACAACATCACAAAAGTTTATTACAGCCTTTCTTCGGGATACTGAAAAACTCAACGAATTCAAGATAGACCTCAGTCATGAGTTACAGGCCTTTCTCAGTGGACAGAAAACTACGAACAAGTGGAGAACAAGTGGAAAGGGAAAAGGAAAGTAATAACTTCATCATGACATGAGGTTCTGGGTTACAAAAAGCACCATCATATGGACTGAATCATTGTGGATATTCTGGATAAAATTCAAGAGAGCAGAAAAAGCTAAGTCGCGAGCTGAATACACAGAAGTGAACAAGAAAGTGGAGAGGAACATCAGAGGAAAAAAACATGACTATACGAAACATCTAGCGATGACAACGGAAAAGGCTGCAAGAGACGGAAACATGAGGCGACTGTATGATACAACAAAGAAGTTTACTGGAAATTATAGTAAACCAGAACGACCAGTGAAAAACAAGGAAGGCAAAGTAATCACTGACATTGAAGAACAGCGAAAAAGATGAGTAGAACACCTTGAACAACTCTTGAGTCGACAAGCACCACTGACCACCAAATCAATGCTGGCCCACAAGCGATCGAAGAGATCAATATGGCCATCAGACAAATGAATAGCGTTAAAACAACAGGATCAGACAACACTTCACATAGACCCCAGATGGACTTATATCTAAAGTTAGTGCTAATGACATTAAACCGATGAACAACGAAGACTGCACAACGCAAAATCCAGCTCAGAGACCGAAACACCACCACAATCATCCACCTGAGCTACACATTTTCTCCACCATCTCAAAATTAAATAGACGCTCATAGTCTTGGTTCCGTCAGGATTGATCAGGAAAAGTCAAATACAGAGGGCATCTCACAGATTCATTGCAAATGAAGTCTGGCGTCAAATAAGACTTCCTCTTTCTTCTGGTGGTTAACTAGATTATAAAGGTCTCCATATTTTAGGGCGACCTTGGAATACAGGGGACAGCTTTGATGCATCTAGACATTATGATCTACCTCTTCTTCTGCTAAACATAAAATGTAGGTGATGACAACAGAGTAAAAGCAGTAGGCCTCAAAAAACGTAAGGGAAAAAGCAAGATCCTCCAATACAACAGAATATGCACCAACTAAATCACATTTGAAGGAGAAGCTTTGGAAGATGGGGAATGCTTTACATATTTCGGGGCAGCATCAATGATAAACAAGGTGGATCTGATTTAGATGTGAAGTCATGGGTTAACAAAACAAGGACAGCGTAGAGAGTTGATAAGAAAGAATTTACAAGTACATTATCAGAGTAAGTCTCGTTTAGAATCATAGATTTCAATTTTTGAAACTAACTAAATAAAAATTTCTAACCAACTTATAAATCAACTCTAATCTCCAATACATTTTTTTAATAAATACAAAACATTGAAGCTGAATAAACAGGTGATCTTCATAATAATTACTGTATCGTCATTATTTTGTGTACAAAATTGAGAAAGAAATGTACAAGTTATTCAAGAATTATTACTGTAACTTATAGCTTATACAACAGTTTGATCATTATTATCTACGGTATTGATTTGAATGAAATAAATTTTTGAATATTATATACAAATTTTATTTATAATCAACATGTATCAGTTGGATTACAAACATGAAAAACCAACAAATAAATAATTCGGATTTGTTACACAGAGATTTGTTTTTCATCAATATCTCTTGAACACAATTCATTGATTTTTCCTTTTGCATGTCTCTACTTCATATGTGTACTTCCACTTAGGCGAATCTTTGTTCCTACAAAATGCTAGAATCATTGAAACGATAAAATACAGAAATAGCGAATTCATACGCACGTCCAATCATGTGATTCTACCTTGATCGCAAACATTGTTGGGATTGGTGTAAGTGGTCACACATGCACACACACACACATACACTTGTGTACACAATCTTAACGATTCATTTTCCAGTGGAAAAAGGGATAATTTCAGAACAAAGTGATTGGTTCAATCATTGTGCTTACATACTACTTTTTTGTTGTATAGTTTATTAACAATGTGTGGTGTTTTTTTCCATGTTTAAAAACTTAGGTGTGTTTGGATTTGTGCATTGGATTTTTAGGGGTTAAAATCACATTAAACAATCAATCACAATCAATAAGATTGTGGGATTTTTTCTCTTTTAGTAAAAAACATATAAATATGGGCGATTTCGTCCAATAAGATAGTTAAAAAAAGAACTGAGAAAAAAAAAACCCAGTGATTCTTGAAAAGATTTAGTTTAATTGTATACAAATGACATCAATATTTCGTATCAATAAATAAATTTCACAATCATTCCAATGTTAACTGAATGTTTCGAAAGTCATGTATTTCCATTGAGGACAGTTATTGGAAAATATGAAATTGATCATTGATCATAATTTTACAGATTCAATAATTTTAACTTTCTTTTCTTGTCTTGTTTTTTTCTCTCTCTTAAAAAAAACATTCGACAATTTCGAATAGAATAATTTCATGAACTATATTAATTAACTTGTTATTGTAGTTACCATTATTAATTGTTCAATAGATATCTTTGAACACGATTCATAAGAACAGTGATAATAAGTATCGTTTCTATCATCCGTTTTTGAAAGAAAAACGTAACAATATGACATATGTAGAGAAAAGATTAGTTCTACGTAATGGACCACCGTGGGGATTTCGACTTTATGAAGATTTTATGGAAGGATTGATTGTAGCCAAGGTATGTAGAAATGTGTTTATTTAAATAATATTTAATGTTTATGATATATATTATTGAATAAAATCTAAGTATTATTTGTTGCTGTTTAATTCTACAGAAATCATGATTCAAGTTGTACATTTGAATAATTTCGACTTGATCTCAACGTGTTATCGTGCTTTGGTAATTTGAATCAATACACATTTGTGCCATGCCTTAATTTGGTTATGATAAGTTTGTTTACTTGATGAAATGACTGACAAAATCTCAGCGCGGATACAGAAAGTTGGCTTTTGCCAACTTGCTTCATTTATGGCGTAGGTGAGATATCCGTTTGCTGAATAAAGGACGAGTGTACTGCGCTGTAGTTTGCTCCGTTCTCCTATATGGATGCGAAACATGGCCAGTGAGAGTAGAAGATATTCTTAGGTTACTAGTATTCGATCACAGACGTCTTAGAAGCATTACTCATATATCCTGGGACAAATGAGTAAACAATGTCATAGTTGAGAAACGAGTACTAGATAAGAATGTCAGATCAATAGATGGAGTATTGAAACTTCATCAGTTGAGGTGGTTGAGAGATGTGTTACGATTGCCTAACTACCGGCTGCCTTGAAGAGCTATGTTTTGTGTTGTAGGAGTTGGTTGGAAGAAAGTTAGGGGCGGCCAAACCAAAACACGGCAGAAATCCATGAATTCACTGACAAGTTGACTGAGTCATCTTGGTAAGCAAAGATTACCTGGTTGGGGTCCGCGAGACGAAAGTCACCGATGGTTAGAGACCTTGAAAGACATGGCTCGAAATCGTTTGCAATGGCGCAGGTGAATCCACTCTTTGTGTTCTCTCAAATCCTGATCTTCTGGACTCGTCAGCACCTCCACATTTGTCTTTCTAACTGTCTTTCTCACTAAATTAGACTTCTTGGATAAGATCTTCAAATCCTAATCTTCTCCATTACCAGTAATACTTCTGCTGTCTTTACCACTATGGGATTTGAAATGATAATTGCATCTCTGTTCTAATATGGTATGGCAACCTGAACTGATGTACTTACGCATAAAGTTCTACATTGTAACTGAATGACTAACTAAGATAGTTGTCAATTTCTTAGGAATTTGTTAACAGTAATGAATTTTTAAATATTAGCATAAGCTAACCTTGTGTATACAAAACATAATGTACATGAGAATAACCAACTAGTTTGCTTTAATGCAAGACCAATTTGGAGTTGTTATTAATTTATGTCGAAACCATCATCAAAAAAATGACATTCTCATCAAAAATTTTATGGATCATTCTAAATTCAATTAAACTCAAAACAGTTTAACAATATTTATAAAAATTTCACTATTTTACTAATATAGATATGATTGAAGTATAATATTTTTAGCCGATAATATACATTATTTTAGTAACTGGAGGAGGTTTGTGTAGGCTGGTAAATCATGATATATTACTGAACTCATTAATCACAGTTAAACATATATTTAAAAGCAAGAAATCACTGCACTCCCTAAAAAATCTGCATCATATGTACATCACTGACTACTGGTGCAGTGCTCCGAATGTCGAGTACTCGATGCGGGACCACGGATTCTGAGTTCGATCCCCTCAGACGTCATCGGTGTTCACTAATGATGAGCCGCATACGATGATGATATAGCTGTTCAGTGCGTTCTGATTTTCAATTCTTGCTCAACTATTATCGATGAGTATTGGAACCGATAAAAATTTCATACTTTCGTTTTATTATAATTCAGTCTGGAAATATTCACAAAAATATATTACACAGTTGTAAAACCACAATGTTTATCCGACTATTATTTTCAATTCTCACTACTACTACTACTACTACTACTACTACTACTGTCAGATATGAACATTTTTTTCTATCAAAGTATTCCATAATTCTGATACTTTTAATTCAAACATTAACCAAATTTTTGTTTCTCCAAAATAAATAACATAGTGACGATCATATGTCAAACTGTTACGTTATTTTCATTTGTAGTTTGCGTCACATTTATCAGCAGGATACGATACTAAATAAAAAGACATTTTCACAAAAAATATACACTTATATTACAATCTGATTAATATAAACGATTAAATCAGGAAAAAAAACAAACTGTATTCACACTTTACAAAATTGGAAACAGTTTGAAATAAACCTGTCTCAAAATGTTATTGTTAGTTGAGTTTTATGTATGAGCTAATCAGATGTATTCGATATTTGTGCAAAAAACTATATTCAGTCGAACAGATAAATAGTATTGCTATTTGATATTATACCTAATATCAATCAGTGAATCAATCTCTTACTGTAATTGCTTACCGCTACTTTTAACTTCTAGGCCTTATCCCTAATTCTGCTAACTAATTCATAAAATCTTATTTCATCATCCAACTTAATGAATAGATAGATTTTCTCAAGATCACTTTATTGAAATCAATCAATCATTGTTAGAACACCATCATTAAGAACCTGGAAGCACTGGTTAGCTTGGTTAGCTCCGTCATTAGGGCGCCAGACATTTGGCCCAGTGGTCTTGAGGTTAGGCGTTCGCACGCAAAACTGAAGGTCCTGGGTTCAAATCCTGCGAGGTGCAGGAGTATTGGATGCGCACTGTTAATGAATCCCATGCTAGGTCGAAACGGTCGTCCAGTGCTTCCAGGTTTTTAATGGTGGTCTAACAGTGATTGATTGATGATTTCAATGTGCAGAAAAAACACTTTATTGTTGCTTAAAACGCGTTGCTCATAAAATATCATCAAAAAATATTCAGCAGTTGCCTTCATTTTCTTTCATACGATTTTTTATTGTAGAATAAACTGTAGTAAGAATAAAGATTCTGAAATAACCTTTCTTTCAAAATGACGTAATTTCTTTGAACTTTATTCAGCCTGTGATGAAATAAAGCACACTGAAATATTTGAGACAACTAACACCAAAACAGTGATTAAATTTAGCGAAAAGAATTAAAATCATTAAGAATTATATGATGTAAATTTTGTGTTTATTGGTACTCATTGAAAAAAATGTTTCTTCAGTCTTAAGGGAATTGATTATTCTAGTGAGATTCAAAGTCACTTCATCCAAATACACAGTTAGAAACATCATCACTGAACTACTTGATTCGAACACTGTAATTACCCCTAAACCATCGCGCCTAAGTGAAGCAAGTCCTGCTATTACCCTATGACACTGTAATACCGAAACATAGTTTACACAATTTCGAATAATTTTCATCTAAACATTACATTTCGACATGATCGATGTAGGACATACTAGTTAATGCTCAGTTATCGATCAGTGCGGACTTGCTAATATACATTGGTTGAATATTAATCTTATGTATATGATTAAATGCTCATTTTAGTTTTAATTACAGTTACATATTCGGCAGTATAAAACAGTATATTGAGAAATCTTGGATACTTTTATCAATAATTAGCCAGGAGTTGAGTACAGTATGATGAACTTACTCCGTCTGAAATTTTTCAGGTGCCTAGATTCAATCAAATACTCTTATCGATGAGAGGGCTGAGGATTGCTGAATTTCATTGAGATCAAGGTGTGATGCACCTTAGACCACCATTGAAAACCTGGCAGCTCTGATCTTCTGTCCCTTCCTAGCATGAAATTCCTCAGCAATGTGTAACCAAGACTGCTTTACACGGTAATCAAACCCAGGACATTCGGTTTCGTACATGAACGCTTCAAATTTAGACTACTTGGTCAGCATCCGACTGTGTTAAAGTATTACTTCATTCAATCCACAACGCTGCGCATTCACTAACGGTCTGATATAGACCAGCTTACAGTTTCAGTTAGATTCTCTAATAACAACGGAAACGTTGTATGGATTGTGTTTATTACAGTGGATCATTTAATTTGAAAAGATCATGACAGATGAATGATAATCAGTTTCAGTTTCTAATTTTCAATAAATGTCAAGCAACAAAATAGTTAAAAGCAGAAACAGATGGCAGCTGACAGTGGTTATAAACTCTGGGATTCGGATATATTCAAATGACGAGTCCCATATAGGACGAAATGTGCATCCTGAATTCCAATGCTAGCCACAATCTATATCTGCTTATAATGCTTATGATTTACTTGCAACATCAGGGCGATCCGGATGGGATGCAGATGTGCTAAAAGAGCTAGACCAAACGCAGTTCTAAGCGTCGATAGAAGGATTCTAGCAACCAATAAACGTGCACTAAGAAAAGTTACCGAAATGTGCATTATATATATATATATATATATATATATATCACATTTTCTGAAACTGTTATTTTGTGTTATGTAAAAGTTCACAGGGTTGATCAGTACAAAAAGTTTTCAAATCTGTTTTTTTGATAAACATGTCAATTTTTGATGATGATATTAACATGAGTGACAGTGCAATGTTCGTAATGCTACTGTGAGGTAAACAAAATTTACAAAACATAATGTAAACGTTTAATCATGATGACCTTATATCAATCAATAGCAGTAGTTAAGCGGTCATTTCTTAATGATATCAACCGTTGTGTTGACTTTTTTCATCGACTTTTCAGTTGTATGATTCATCGAGCGATAAACACCTAATTCTGTGTCCAAATCGTTTACTGTTATTCCATCCACCTACCTATTCCTTCTTATCATTATATCGACCGGTTTCTTTTTTCATAGAAAATATGGGATTGTGCAAATCAATTACAAAGACTACCTACTTGAATCAATAAAATATTGATTATGTCGTAAAATGTTATTTGAATTGAAAATTAATCATTCTAAACTGTTTCTGTATTGAACACTGAATAAGATTTAATTTAAATAATCTACCTTAAACTAAAATGAAGGTCTAATGTGGGGCGGAATGGAATTCAAAAGATTACATATTTCAATATTCATTGAAGATAAGTAGACAGTGATTAAATTTATTTATTGTTTTACGCCCAAATCGAAGAAATAAATGTGGTTTCAAAAAAAATCAGTAAATCAATGGACAAAATAGATTTATCAATA